TATGAAAAAAATATGGCATCTATGGTATTTCTATTGTAAGATATTTTAACACTAATATATTTATTTTTCTATTATAATATTAATTTATGTTGTGTAATGTAATTCAATTTTAATTTATATAAATCATATTTTATTAAATTATTGCTCAAATAAAATATAAGTGGCTAGACTAGAATTCATAGTTTTGACAGTTGAATGTTATTATTTGTAAATTAATAACTTAGTGGAAAAATATATACTTGAAATTTTATTTCTAAAGTAAAACTAGAGTAAAATATTGGAGTACAACTTAACTCTAATTTTAATTTATTCGAACGATAAATAGAATAATGAACCGAAAATGATCGAATTATATAAACGATGATACGAGCTATATATCATTGTTAATTGGTATTTTTTGACAACTATTTTCGTTTTTATTTGAAAATCCATGGTCTCACAATTAGTATTAAAAGTTTTCCAATGAGTAATAGAGTCATAGCCGAGATAAGATGATTGGAATAAAAAACTATCATTCAAATGAACATAAATAAATTATTATTTTGTAACGAATCAGTGACCAGCGTTGTCGACCCATATAATCCACCAATTCTAGCCGTCACGATCTTCCTTTTTAGTGTTTTTATAATCAAACATTCAAAGACTCTGACTATGATCATACTTAATACTTTATCTTTTTACATAAATAGAAAATAACGACTTAACACCGATCGGATTGAAAGAGAAGAATATGAAATCAAGAAGTTATTAAGTGGTTTTCATATAAATTTTCCTTTTTATATAATGTGAATCGTAAATTGTTATTTCAAGATTTGACAAAGTAAACGGCCAATAATTTAAGTGAAAAATGAAAGTATTGACTTATTTGTCCTCTAATATCAAGTGACAACCCATAGTCAACTCTAGCAGCCCGTCAACGAAATGAATTTGCAGATTATAAAAGAGCCAAAACCAGAGGATAACAAGTGTATTGTGTATGAACACTAACCCAGAAAAAACCCATCTTCTTAAAAATCTCATTCAAAGATCAATAGAAACAGAGAGAGAGAATGGCTTGTAAAGACAAGCCTCGTGGTGATCTTCAAGTTCTTTTGATCGTAGCCACAGTTTTGAGCTGTTTTCTTGCAGCTTCTGCGACTGTCTCCGAAGCCAATGCCCTTCTGAAATGGAAGTCAACTTTCACGAACCAGACAAGAACTTCAAAGCTGTCTTCTTGGGTCAATCCAAACACCAGCAGCTTCTGTACCAGTTGGTATGGTGTTTCCTGCTTACGCGGGAGCATCATACGGTTAAATCTCACTAATACCGGTATCGAAGGTACTTTCCAAGATTTTCCCTTCTCTTCTCTCCCCAACCTCACTTATGTTGATCTTAGCATGAACCGTTTCTCTGGAACCATCCCTCCTCAATTCGGACAGTTATCTAAACTCATCTACTTTGATCTGTCCATAAACCAGTTAGTTGGGGAAATCCCGCCTGAGCTTGGGAATTTAAGTAACCTAGAAACTCTCCATCTTGTCGAAAACAAGTTAAACGGGTCGATTCCATCCGAGATAGGTCTCTTAGCTAAGGTTCAAGAAATAGCCTTGTATGACAATCTGTTAACTGGACCAATACCTTCTTCCTTAGGGAACCTAACCAAACTAGTTAACCTCTACCTCTTTATCAACTCTCTCTCTGGTTCAATTCCTCCTGAGATCGGAAACCTAACCAACCTTGCTGAGCTATGCCTTGACAGGAACAACCTAACCGGTCAAATCCCTTCCACTTTTGGAAAGTTGAAGAATGTAACCCTTCTCAACATGTTTGAAAATAAGCTCTCGGGTGAAATCCCTCCTGAGATTGGTGATATGACCGCTTTAGATACCCTTAGCATCCACACAAATAAGCTTACCGGTCCAATCCCTTCAACCTTAGGAAATCTCAAAAGCCTAGCCATTCTTCATCTTTACCTGAATCAGCTTAATGGTTCCATTCCTCCGGAACTAGGCAGCTTGGAATCAATGATTGATTTAGAGATAAGTGAGAACAAACTCACCGGTTCTGTTCCTGATTCATTTGGCAACTTATCCCAGTTGGAATGGTTATTCCTCCGTGACAACCAGCTTTCTGGTTCGATCCCACCAGGAATCGGCAACTCTTCACACCTAACCGTCCTGCAACTCGACACCAACAACTTCACCGGTTCCTTGCCTGAAACCATCTGTAGAGGTGGCAAGCTTGAGAATGTCACGCTGGATGATAATTTCCTCGAAGGTCCCATTCCTAAAAGCTTGAGAGACTGCAAGACCTTGATCCGAGCAAGATTCAAGGGGAATAGTTTCTCCGGAGATATCTCTGAGATGTTCGGAGTTTACCCAAAACTCAATTTCATTGATCTCAGCGACAACAAATTTCACGGAACGATATCAGCCAAGTGGGAACAAAGCCAAAAGCTAGTTGCATTCATAATCTCCAACAACAACATCTCAGGAGCCATTCCGCCTGAGATTTGGAACATGACACAGCTAAGCCAGCTCGATCTATCTACCAACAGAATCACTGGTGAGCTCCCCGAATCAATCAGCAAACTCAACCGTTTGTCAAGACTACAACTGAACGGGAATCAGTTATCCGGGAAAATCCCTTCAGGAATCAGACTCTTAGCCAATCTTGAGTATCTTGATCTATCCTCAAACAGATTCGGCTTCGGTATCCCCGCAACGCTTGACTCCTTGCCAAGGCTTTATTACATGAACATGAGCAGAAACGAGTTGGATCAAAGCATCCCAATGGGATTAACAAAGCTGGCTCAGTTACAAATTCTTGATCTCAGCTACAATCAGCTCGACGGAGAAATCCCATCACAGTTCAGCTCCTTACAGAACCTGGAGAGACTCGACCTCTCACACAACAATCTCTCAGGTCCCATTCCATCAAGTTTCAGAGAGATGTTGGCCCTTACACACGTCGATGTATCACACAACAACCTCGAGGGTCCAATTCCAGATAATGGAGCGTTCAAAAACGCAGGTCCAGATGCATTGGAAGGCAACATAGATTTGTGTGGTAACACAACACAAGGTCTGAAGCCATGTCCAACCACTTCCTCTGGAGGCAAGAAATCAAACAAAGACAGAAACCTAATCATCTGGATACTAGTACCGATCGTTGGAGCGATCGTAATCCTCTCTGTGTGCGCAGTTATATTCATCTGCTGCCGTAAGAAAAAGCCCCAAATCGATGAGAATTCAGATACTGAATCTGGAGAAACGTTATCGATCTTTAGCTTCGACGGGAAAGTAAGATACCAAGAAATCATCAAAGCGACTGGAGAATTCGACCCAAAGTACCTGATTGGAACCGGAGGACAAGGCAAAGTGTACAAAGCAAAGCTCCCTGCGGCGATCATGGCGGTCAAAAAGCTCAACGAGACAACGGACGAGGAGATATCAAAGCCGGCGGTGAAACAGGAGTTCCTGAACGAGATTAGGGCACTAACGGAGATCCGACACAGAAACGTGGTGAAGCTCTTCGGATTCTGCTCGCACCGCCGCAACACGTTCCTGGTGTACGAGTACATGGAGAGAGGAAGTTTGAGGAAAGTATTGTCGAGCGATGAGGAAGCTAAGCAGCTAGATTGGGGAAAGAGGATCAATGTCGTGAAAGGTGTGGCTCACGCATTGTCGTACATGCACCATGCCCGGTCGCCTCCGATCGTACACCGAGACATTACCAGTGGAAACATCTTACTCGACAATGATTACGAAGCTAAGATCTCCGATTTCGGTACTGCGAAGCTTCTCAAGCCGGATTCTTCCAATTGGTCCGCCGTTGCCGGAACCTACGGCTATGTTGCTCCAGGTACACCATTTTTCAACCCGTTAAACTGGATTCGGCCCGAAATGGGTCGGGTCGGATCACTAGACCGTATCTACTATCTAGTGGAATGGTTCTGTTTTCGG